TATTTCCATCTCCATCTCCTTCTCCCGCGCCCCCAGTCTTTCCTCCCCGCTCTTCCTCCACCGCCAACCCTCCGCCGTCCTTCGCCGCCCCCCAATCCGCCGTAAATCAAAACCTTTCCCCAACAATTCCACCCAAGTTCGCTGCTTTTCTCCCACTCCCATGATGGGCGATACCTGGAAACCAAAACCCACAATCCCAGTCATCGAGAAGGCCACCAAGCCGGAGCTATTCCGCGCCCTGGAGTCCGCTCTGGGTTCTTCATTCTCCTCCGACCCAATTTCCCCGGCGCCGAACCCTCTCATCATCGTGATCAGCGGCCCCAGCGGCGTCGGGAAAGATGCGGTGATAGGGAAACTGAGGGAGTCGAGGGGGGAGAATTTGCACTTTGTGGTCACTGCCACCAGCAGGCCGATGAGGCCCGGCGAGGTCCACGGTAAGGACTATTACTTTGTATCCAAGGAAGAGTTTCTGGATATGAAGGAGAGGAATGAGCTCTTGGAGTATGCACTTGTTTATGGTGATTACAAAGGGATCCCCAAATCGCAGATTAGGGAGTTTATGGGTAGAGGGTGCGATATTGTGTTGAGGGTTGATATCCAGGGAGCTCACACGTTGAGGAAGAAATTGAAGGACTCTGCCGTGTTTATATTCTTGGTGGCAGAGAGTGAGGCGAAGTTAGTGGAGAGGTTGATTGACCGGAAGACGGAGAGTAAAGAGGATTTGCTTGTGAGGATTGCTACTGCTAGGGAGGAAGTGAGGCATGTGAAGAGTTTCGATTACGTTGTTGTGAATGCCGATGGGAAACTCGATGAGGCGGTGAAGTTGGTCGAGTCGATTATCGATGCTGAGAAGGCGAGAGTTCGGCGGAAGTGTGCTGCAATTTAGCTTCGGCAAACAGACAGAAGGTTGTCATTTTTTGTGTTGTTGATTGTCTGGTTGATGCTCAAAACTTTATCCTTTTTGTGTGCACGATTCCTTGTCTTCTAGTTTATGGCTGCACTTGTGCAAATTCCATTTATGTGAAATTGGAAAGGAAAACGAGAATCTAAAATGTTTGGTAGTGATGAGTAGTTTGGCCAATTGATCCAGTTATGGTTCTACTTTGTCCCTTTGATATTATGACACCAGTGACATGTTCTACTTTGTCCCCGACGACTTAACTTATGGCTTCTTCCAAGCTCTGAACAATGTAGAAGTATTTTTCATCTGTATTCTAGTTCAGGGATTCTGGGGTTTTAGTTCTGCCCAAGTGCCAACCAGACATTTCTGCTCTCTTCATTGTTGTTTCTTCACATTAAGATGGAGTTAACACAGTCATTGATTAGATTGAGAGATGAATTTCTTACCTACTTATAGGACAAGTTAAACAATATACAATGGTCACAAGTAACAAGGGAAAATTCAAACCTTCTATACCTCAATTTTTTTATTCATCACACTATTCTTGCTCCAATGCTGTAAATGTTCTGGCTTTTTGTATGAACATCAGTTTCTGAATCGAGAATGAATAAGTTCTCCTGGTGAATTCCTTACCTAGGTGAAGGTCTAGACTTTCCTTTTATCCCCTTTGCTATTCCTAGTATACACTTGAAATGAACTTCCTTGTTGGATGTAACTGTGTTCTACTCGAGCTTTACATCTCGAGACCTGCTCTAACTGTTCCTGTCTTTTTCATGGATGATATATACAGAGAGCTAGAACTTGCAACCAAGTTGTCAAACCAAGCAGAACGGACTTCTTCAACTCATTGGCGACACTTATACACATCATCCCAACATGCAAAAGCATTCATTTGTGAAGGCATCTGCAGAAGAAAGGTCCATCAAAACCCACTTGTCTTCCCATATTCCACAGCGCTTAATATTGTATGCCTTCGTCGCTCCTACAAAGGAACCTCCTTGCCAAGTTACACGTTAATTGTGCATCTGTACATAGCAACATCTCCTTTTCTGCAAAGTCAACGGATATGCGGATCTTCCAGGTGGTACAGAGGTTGGTGGGACTTGGGAGGTACAGAGAGAATGTTGTTAAAGATGCTTTTGCTTGACTTAATAACAGCAGAAGATTTTGCTTGGAACTTGATTATAGCTTGTAATAGGGAAATGATCATCTTGCTGCATTATTTAGACGAATCTGAATATTTGTCAAGTTTCCCTGATCTGTCATCCCTAATCATGAGCTGGTTGGTCTTCCCTACAAAATACTGTAATAGGAAAATGAGCTTCAATAACCTGCCAGCTAGATCAATCTCAGGTTCCAGGTTACTCTAAATTTCCTTTTTCTTTTAAGACACGAAGAACCGCACGCAATGAGCAACGTAATTGACTAGCAAAACTGAATGTCCAGTGGAAGCCAAGGGACGGAAGACGGGATGTTTGGATATGGAGGAAGACTTCAGAGGCAATAATAAGAGTGCCTTAATAATAACATTACCATTCAGGGAAAGGATGTCTGGACTTGAATTCTGCTAGAAGAGATTATCAATAACGATTTATGGTAGTAATCTTACATCTGGTTGAAGGTATAAGAAAGCACAAAACTGTCATTTTCTTAACATCAATACATTAAGGGTCCTCTGGACGGTGTAGTTAGATGAACAGCGATTTGGCCCAATTGTTTCAAAGCGAAGCAATTTGATCCAATAATCTCGTTTGACAATACGAAATGACGATGCAACAATTAGAACGAGACAATCTGAATTGTCTCGTTATGACAAGGAAACAAGCAAGTATTATGAAATGATGCATTTTTGTGAACCAATTGAGTCAAGTTTATTCCGAAATCCATCACCCAAACCATCTATTAATCACGAGACAATTTGAATTACCTTGTTTTAACAACGCAATGGACAGATATTGTGAAATGGTGCGTTTTTTTTTATTGAACCAATTGAGTCAAGTTTATTGTAAAAATCCATCAGCCAAACCATCTATCAATTACTAAACAATTTAAATTACCTCGTTTAGGGATGGCAAAAATATCCATAACCATGGATATCCGCCCGAATCCGGCCTAATCGGGTAGGGTAAAACCCGAACCCGAAGGACATTTAGTGGGTACGGGTAAAACCCGAACCCGAATATTGCGGGTAATGGGTGGGCATGGGTTTCTCACTATCCGACCCGAACCCGCCCGATTATACACATGCATATGTATGTTGTCTAGAAATAATCATTATTTTTCTCTAACATATTTTATATTTAGCATATAAATATAACATTTTCATGAAATTGTGTTGTTTTAGTTAATTTTCTTCATTCTAGTGAATTCTTGTCGTACTTTTCTCTTGCTTAATATAAGAATACGTGTGAGTGTTAACATATTTGTTGGAGTTATGAAGAGAAATTAATACCCATGGATAACTGTGGATACCCGAAACCCGAACGGGTATGGACATGGTATTGATTTTCTACCCATTTCACATGTGGGTATGGGTATGGGTAAAACCCGAAGTACTTTGGGTAGGGTAACGGATATGCACATCCGCCCCCGACCCGACCCATTGCCATCCCTGCTCGATTTAACAACGCAATGGACAGATATTGTGAAATGATGCATTTTTATGAGCCAATTGAGTCAAGTTTATTCCGAAATCCATCACCCAAACCATCTATTAATTACTAGACAATTTGAATTACCTCTTTGCAATGGAAAAATATTGTGAAATGATGCATTTTTATGAGCAAATTGAGCACATTTCTAAACCCCCCTATTAGTTTTCTAAAGACCTGTGATTGTGCCAGTATCCTATTATTCCCCATCAGATAGGCAAATAATACCCAAATATCAACCAACGTTATTGGCGAATGATAAAATTGGGGGTATGAATTTCGTGTCGTGAAAGGGATGAAGCAATGACCAGCCAGAGAGACAAACAGGGTATGGGCCGTTTTGAAGAAGGGCCAATTAGCCTTCTTTAACTTGACACCACGCCACTCCTCTTTCGTCCTGAATCTCCCACTTCTGCAAGCAAATCAGCCGAGTTGGTCGTGGCGACTCGACACTTAGCTTAAGAACTCGTCCACGACTCAGATTCCCCCATCATCATTAGGCGCAAGAACGAGACAGATTAGCCCATTAATTCTCATTATCTGGATCAAGGCTAACAGGCGGTTATCGTTTGACTTCGGCTCACCCTCTCTGATAATTTAATTCATTCCAAGGTTGTATGCTCGTTAAGTATGTATAATAATCACAATTAGATGGAGATAATCAGATAATTCATAGGTATCTGTCAGTTGCTTCTTCCATGTCGATTTTGTTCCCCAGCAGCATATATTCATGGCCCTGAATATGGCACTAGTGTCGTTGGATCATACCTTCAGGCTTCAACATGGCATTATTTTGTAAGTAAGACCTTATTGTAGCATCTAATAACTGAAATTTACTGAAATCGTCGAATCCAACGATGACAGCAGATGCCGACGACTGAGCCCATCAGCATCTTAGCCAAATTGAATTTAGCAGCAGTGTAAACATGTACCTCCTCGTTTCCTTGTAAAGGAAGCATCATCCTCTGTCTCTGAAATGGCCTCTTTTCCAGATTTACAGGGGAAAGTTTAAGAATAGGTTAAAGCAGGGCAATCATTCTGACTTCGGTCATTACCGGAAAAAAGGCGGGTAACTTTTCTCCCGCTTCCATTGTCTTGACTTGAGATGATCCGCAAAAGCAAACTCCTAGTGGCAGCAGGGCGAGCCTTTCCGCCCAAGAAACCCAGCGGGAGAAAAGCCTTTCGCTTCCACCACGAAAACACGGCGGAAAAAAACAGAGCAACCAACAACTGAAGCGTCTCTCCCCCATTTTCCCAGTTTCCACCTCATCATCATCATCATCCCTCACACACACAATCAACGTTGTTCCTTAAACTCAATCCTTCCTCTCCCTCTCTATAAAACCCACCACGTTTCATCTTCTCAACAATCCATCACATTTTTCTCACCAAAGTTTCGACCTTTACCCCTAAAAAATCAGAACTGGGTTAGCTCCAATTTCCCGGAAATGGAGACAGGGAAGTCGGCAGAGGAAGAGGGAAGCAACCACAGCATTCATCTCCAAGTGGTGGAGCTCCGCCGCCTGAGCGAAATCTACGGCTCCTCGTCGGCCACGATCTTCGAGCCGCAGGGGAGCGGCGTAGGAGGAGTGGAGAAGCGAGACAGCAGCACAGCCAATTCCGTCTCCCCGACGGTCATGAACCCGGCCGCCGCCGCGCCGGAGAAGAAGCTGACTCTGTTCGCCCTCCGCCTCGCCGTCCTCGAGAAAGCCGCCACCAGCTTGGGCACTCTAGGGTTCATCTGGGCCACCGTCGTCCTCCTCGGCGGCTTCGCCATCATACTTGACAAAACTGATTTCTGGCTGATCACCGTTATATTGCTGATCGAAGGCGCACGGATTTTTAGCCGAAGTCACGAGCTCGAATGGCAGCATCAGGCCACGTGGTCAATCTCCGACGCCGGAGTCAACAGCTTCCGTGCGCTGAGATCCAGCCCCCATTTTCTCGCCGGGATAGTCAGGACAATATTCCGGCCGATTCAAAAACAGAGTCGAAGACAAAACAGGGGAACAGAGTCAAATCCACCGAGCAACGGTTCAGCCAGCTGGCATCAACGGAGGAAGTCGAATAGCCGGACGTGGACGAGCTCCGACGTTCCGATTCTGCCTTACGGGAAATGGGTCTTCCTCTCCAAGAACGTCAGCAAAGTTTTCTACTGGCTCCAGCTCGCATCCGCCACGGCCTGCGTTACTCTGTCTCTCATGAAGCTAATCCAGCACAACTACGGCGAGGTTTCGAAAACAGACACCGATAAGCGAAACAGAAAAGCCGCTCTAACAATCTTCTACTCGCTAGCTCTGGCAGAGGCTCTGCTCTTCCTCTTGGAAAAGGCCTACTGGGAGTGGAAAGTGATCTACTGCAAAATCCTCGAGCAAGTGAATCAGGAGTGCGAATTGGGACCCTCTGGAATGGTCTCGATCAAGAGATTCTTCTACGACGCTTACTCGAGATCGGTCAACGGATCGATCTTCGACGGATTGAAGATGGACGTTGTCTCGTTCGCCATGGAGCTTTTGTCCTCCACTTCCCCTGACGAGCAATTGATTGGAGCCAGAGTGCTCCGGCAGTTTTCGATCAGCGAGCGATTCTCCGACGATACTCTGCAGAAGGTCGGGGTGAACATCTCGGTGATCGAACGGCTCGTGGAGATGCTGAATTGGAAGGATTTGCAGGAGGAAGAGATTCGTCGATCAGCGGCGGAGGTCCTGTCGAAGCTGGCAGGGAAGAAGCAGAATTCGCTTCGTGTCGCGGGGATTCCAGGGGCGATGGAGTCGATCTCGTCGTTGCTTCGGACGAACAGAGAGGCAAACAGACCAGCAGCCGATGAAGTTGGGGAGAAGAAGATTGTGTGCGATCATTTCGGGTACGGATTCTGGACGTTTAACCATTTGGGACTTCTGATTCTGAAGAAGCTTGCGAGGGATCATGACAACTGCGGCAAGATTGGGAATACCAGAGGATTGTTGCCGAAGATCATCGATTTCACCCACGCCGGAGAAAAGCTGCTGAAGGATGAAAATGCGGCGCTTTCGCAGATCCTGACGGTGAAGAGATCGCTTCAGGTGATGAAAATGCTGGCGAGCACAACGGGGGCTACAGGAAAACAACTGAGGAAGGAGATATCAGAGGTGGTTTTCACGATCAGCAACATTAGAGACATCTTGCGGCACGGTGGAAAGCATCCGATGCTGCAGAAGTTGAGCATCGAGATCCTGACGAGCTTGGCGCAGGAAGAGGAGGCGACGGAGAGGATCGGTGGGACCGGCGGGATCCTGAAGGAACTGTTCAACATTTTCTTCGAGCGAGATGGGCCCGGGTCGATTCAGAGTCATGTCAGGATTGCAGCAGGGGAAGCCCTGGCGATGCTGGCTCTGGAGAGCAGGAGCAACTGTCACAGGATTCTGAAGCTGAAGGTGCTCAGCGAACTCGTTGCGGCGCTCGAGGTTCCTGTGCTCAGAGTGAATGCTGGCAGGATCCTGAGGAACTTGTGCATCTATAGCGGAGGGGATAGCTTTGATCAGTTGAAGGATGTCACTGCTTGTGCTCCCACGGTTAGTAATTTTCGTTAACTTGCGTCGTCGAAGAATTAGTTCGTCTCAATATTTTGCGAGTAAACGTCATAGACAAGTCAGGATATCGAGGGTAGGGTGAGGATCAAGTTGTCGGTTAATCGAGTCGTGCTAATACGAGTTACGTGTCAGGATTGGGTCGGTTTAGCAATTTTCGGGTTAGTTGACAATTTTGTCATTTCTATTTGTGCAGGTGCTGAAAGCAATCACATCAGAAGACAAGAAACTGCAGGAGGTAATGGTGGGACTAGCGGCAGAAGCATTCAAGTTCATGACCCCTCAGGAATCGGCCCTGATGTTTCAGAGAGCAGGAATGACGAATGCTCAATTGGCGACGATAATCGTAACAACGTTGCGAAAGTACGAAGATCCACCCACAAAGGTTCCCAGAATAAGGAGATTCTGCATTGAGCTGGCGATTTGGATGATGAGGGAAAACAGGAGAAATGCTGAGGTGTTTAGAGAGCTTGGATTTGAGAAGGATTTGGAATGTGTATTGGAAACTACTTCGGAACTCGAGAGCTTCAACATATTCTCTGGTACGGTAGGAATGAGCCGTCACAGCGTAAGCATTCACTCGTTGGTAGAAACCGCGATGGAGTTGCTCGTGGCGCGATAAGACATTAATGGTGGATGCTCTGTACATACATATTGAAGGAATTCTCAACTAAATCATGGAGATTCTTTTTCCCTTTGGAATAATGATCAATTTGTTGCAAATGCATGTAACTATACCTGTATTTTTGTACAATCAAGTTCTATAACTATGATTTATTGATTTGATTCAATTTGAACTAAGAATAAACGGCAGGTGTAAAAAGAATGAAAGCATGACTTAGTTCCCCAGGAAAAAAGCGGAAAGAGGATAATGAAAGCACAAAATCAATCAATCAAACAGCTCCACACAGCCACAATGAGTAAACCATTACAAATTTCCTCCTTTTTCCTTTGCATCAGAGGAATCAATAGAAGTAGCAGAAACCATGACCATCATCAAATAGGGAAACTGGAACATCATAGAAAATCACCTCTACTTCGGTAGAGGAAGGTTTGGTGTGAATCTAAAAGAAGGGCTTGGGCTCTTGTTCAAGGCCTTCGAGCCCATATATTCTTAATGGACTTATTTGGCTTGTTCTACTTGCATCTTATTGAACACGTGAAAATGTTGAATAAAGTTGTCTTAGGATAGGTCGAACTTCTCCTAGTATGATATCATTTTGCCTATTAGAGGTCGACACAAATCTAAGTTAGATGATTTTGATTAGGGCCTCAAACGAGTCGAGTCGAGTCGAGTTTTTACTTAGATTAAATTCGGCTTGTTTATAAAATTTTCAGTTCGAACTCGAATTTGGATAATCTAGCTCGAGCTCGACTCGATTAAAAATAATTCAGCTCGAGCTCGACTCGGTAGAGCTTGGTAAATGCTCATTAAAACAACTTGTCAAGTTGAGTACATGCTCGGCTCAAGATGAGCTCGATTTGAAATCATTCTTGCTGAAAAATGCTTACACATTATAATTTAAATGATAAAAAAACACTAAAAACTAAAATAATAGCTAACTTCTATACACATTCTTATTAACAAGATAATGTTCATATTCAGAAGAGTAATTAATCATTCCACAAGCTCTAAACAAGACAGCTCGCGAGCTTAGCCAACAAGCCACTGAATCAAGCTAGCTCACGAACTTATCAAGCTGAGCATGATCTAGCTCAAGCTTGGCCCGTTTACTAACGAGTCGGCTCGCGAGAAGGCTTGTTAAATAACGAGCTGAGTTTCGAACGAATTTTTCCCGATTCGAACTCTGAGTTGCTCGCGAGCGGGTTGACTCATCTACAGCCCTAGTTTTGACTTAAAGGTAGTCATAGTTACTTTATCACTACCAACTTGTAGTTCACTCCTATTTAAAATTTCGGTAATGTCTATTTTTTATCCAAACTTTTTTCAGATTCTTTTATATTATCCAAACCTATTAAAATGCTATTAATTAACCAAATCTTTCATAATGCATCAATATATTAGTCTTTTTTACATTATCGTTAATAATTTTGTAGCTTTTTTCTTAGTTAAAATACTAAAATTTTGGAATGTTGACCTTCATGTGTCTCTTTCAAGTCAGTATCATGTTGCCAAATCTACTAACAAAATTGCTAATTGAAAGTCAATATTTGGCTAATTTTTAGTATTTTGATAGGTTTGGATAATATAAAAGTATTTGAAGAAGGTTTAGATAAAAAATATACATTATCCTTAAAATTTCTAGTAAATTAGGATGCGAAAAGACCGCTCTAACTTATATTTGTAATGAGCAGGATTGATAATTCCTAAAATATTGTAAGTTGTCGAGCATCAAAGTCTTGTGTTATTACAATTCATCGAGTGAAATCTAAAAAGAATGGGGTATCCTTTTGCTAAGAAATCTACAACATGACTACTCTCCGGGTAGACATGAGTGATTCCTAACATTGCAATCTGTATAACCAAGCCGATCTTGAGCTCTTTCACTATACTTTAAAGTTTTAGTGTTTCAAAATATAAATGAAGCCTATACCACAATATTAAAATTATAAGTTCAGTTTGTACTATAAATAACTTTTTGGGTATGCCTACTATGACATGCATGTCACGGTGACATGCACTTTTCGGTCGACCTATTCCTAAGGGCGGTCGACCGAATAGTCTAATTTGGGCAGCACGAGAAAGCCTTGCGGTCGACCGCCACGACCACCTGGTCGACCGCATTTAGTTTAAGTTGGTATTTTTGGTCGACCAGAATAGAACCTCGGTCGGCCATTTCGTTGGCGTCAGAAACAACATGGTCGACCACCTAATATATAGGTCGACCACTTGATGACAGTAATTAACAAAATGGTCGACCGGATAAGGAAAGAGGTCGACCAGATAGAAGATAAGTGTTCTATCAAAGTGTCCAATCATTTGACGTAAAATGGAGATCAAGTGTTGGTTTCTCGGTCGACCTAATCCGGTACGAGGTCGACCGAATACAAGAAAGTCAACCTATGCCCCGTGTCTTTTTTGGTTATGTATGTCGATTTGTGTGGTTAATTTAATCGTATAAATTATGTTTCAAACCATCATAATTAGTCAATTATAACAAGGACTCATCAATCCATAGCATAACAACTAAAAATAAAACACACATAAAATAGCATAATTGTTCACCACATAAAAATAAAACTAAAAAAACCAGCATAGCATAATTGTTCACACATAAAAATAAAACTAAAAAAATAACATAAAAATAAAACTAAACAAATAAAACTAAAAACTACTCATCTCCCCCCTCTCCCTCATTCACATTTTCTTCATTTTCTTCATTGGTGGTGGTAGCATGGTGGTCAGATGTGGTGGGATGCATGTATCTTCCGCTGAAAGATCGCCACTCATCTCGCATCTCATTCACGGTCAGCTGCATTGTGCTCATCTGGGCGTTCATTTGCCCCATGTAGTCGTACATGCCAGTCATCTGGGCGTTCATTTGGCCCATGTACTCGTACATGCCATCCATGCGCTCCCACACACGCTGTAAGGTGATCGGTGGAGTTGAAGTCTGTGCCTCCCCCATTGGCTCGTCTCGAGCTCCTTGATCACCATCATCACCATCATCATCCTCATCATCATCATCATCACCACCACCAGCATGAGCAATGTTTGCTCTGACATACTCACCATTACGCAGCTCAAAGCCCATCTTTTTCAGAGATGAAACAGTATAGAACTCCTGCCTTGAGATCGATAACCCCACCTCTTCACTTAAATTCACATTAAAATGCTCAAATATCACAGTGAGGATCATCCCATAGGGAAGATTCCTGTTTGAACTCTCAGCAGCAGTAAGCATGTGGTTAAAGATCAAGTATGGCAAGTTCACCTTCTCGTTTAACAGTAGGTTGGTGAGGAGCTCCATGTCGAAGTAGGTGACTGTCTCCCGATGTCCACCCTTTGGCAGAATGTTGTAGGAGAGCATGTGGTGAAGAACTCTGGCTTGAACTGTCAGGTGGTTACTCGATGGCCTATTGCGCCCCTCAGCATCTTCCTCTTCATCAAGACCACATACGGTCTGGATTTGCTTGGCTCTCGTGTAATGCGTTTCATTCCAAGCACCGTAAGAATTGATTCTCCTCCCCGCGTTTGGAGCCTCCAGTACTTGCGCCAACACATTCTTGCTGATGCGCATCGCCACCCCATTCACATAGGATTTGAATGCGTGAATGGATCCATTTGCATTGCGCTCGTAGGAGATGTTGTTGTAGAAGTATTGTACCATTTTTGGGTAGTATGGTACATTGAGTGATATCACCTTCAACCACTCCTGATCGACGAAGGGTCCCAGAAACCCGTAATTCTCGAAATGAGAATACGCATCCGTCGTCAATGGCCTTCCCGGAACCACCCTGCGGTTGTGCATACTCTTCTCTTCGTAGTTCTCACTTTGCTCCTTCGACTGGAACAAATTCGAATTGAACTCCTCCCATTCCGAACTTGAAGCAGCAGCTTTTTGTGCCTTTCTTTTCTTTTTGCCGCCAAACATCCTGCGATCAAACAAGCAAGAATACACATTAGTCCAATTTTCGAAATGAACAATACGCGGTCGACCACTCCACAAAGCGGTCGACCACAATTAATTTAAAACGAGAATGGGTCGACCTCAGAAGAAACACAGGTCGACCTCAGTTAGTTTAAAACGAGAACAGTCGACCTCAGAAGAAGCATAGGTCGACCTCAGCTAACTTAAAACGAGAATGGGTCGATATAAACCCGTAACAATTCAAATACAAAATTGCCTTCATAGGTCGACCTCAGAACCATCATAGGTCGACCTCGGCTAAATGAAAACGAGCATAAAATGGCCCAAATGATGGTACCACTTGAGTGCAAAACAGATCCGGTCGACCTCATAATCTGAAGAGGTCGACCATTGGTAGTTTCGCACAATTTGAAATACAATGTGACAATAACTCGCACTTTTGCCTTCATAGGTCGACCTCAGAACCATCATAGGTCGACCTCGGCTAAATTAAAACGAGCATAAAATGGCCCAAATGATGGTACCAATTGAGTGCAAAACAGATCCGGTCGACCTCATAATCAGAAGAGGTCGACCAGTGGTAGTTTCGCACAATTTGAAATACAATGAGACAATAACTCGCACTTTTGCCTTCATAGGTCGACCTCAGAACCATCATAGGTCGACCTCGGCTAAATTAAAACGAGCATAAAATGGCCCAAATGATGGTACCAATTGAGTGCAAAACAGATCCGGTCGACCTCATAATCAGAAGAGGTCGACCAGTGGTAGTTTCGCACAATTTGAAATACAATGAGACAATAACTCGCACTTATGCCTTCATAGGTCGACCTCAGAACCATCATAGGTCGACCTCGGCTAAATTAAAACGAGCATAAAATGGCCCAAATGATGGTACCAATTGAGTGCAAAACAGATCTGGTCGACCTCATAATCTGAAGAGGTCGACCAGTGGTAGTTTCGCACAATTTGAAATACAATGAGACAATAACTCGCACTTTTGCCTTCATAGGTCGACCTCAGAACCATCATAGGTCGACCTCGGCTAAATTAAAACGAGCATAAAATGGCCCAAATGATGGTACCAATTGAGTGCAAAACAGATCCGGTCGACCTCATAATCAGAAGAGGTCGACCAGTGGTAGTTTCGCACAATTTGAAATACAATGAGACAATAACTCGCACTTTTGCCTTCATAGGTCGACCTCAGAACCATCATAGGTCGACCTCGGCTAAATTAAAACGAGCATAAAATGGCCCAAA